TCTGTAGCATTGCCCCTGGAACTTAGAGAAGAGCAGACAGCTTTTTAATTTAATCCACATGAGAGCACAGGAAGCCGCATGATACTGAGGCAAACCATTGGTCCATCTAGTTCAGTATTGTCTACACTGACTGGCAGCCTCTCTCCAAGGTTTCAAGCGGAAGTGTCTCTCCCAGCCCTACCCAGAGATATGCAGGATTGAACCCGGGCCCTTCTGTATACAAAGCAAATGCTCTACCATTGTGCTACAGCCCTTTACCATTTTTATTCTCTCCCTCTTCTTCCTATGGAAATGGCAACATACTTTTATGGCGGGGGGGGGGGCAGAGAACATCCCCAGAGTTAGCAAACTTAGTTTTGCTCGGGATAAAAATACATCTGCAGTTCTCTGTTTTGACACAGCAGGATCTGTCTGCTGAAGTTCAAAGCTGTGTGTATATTTTAGCCCATCTCTAAGAGGGCATGTCCTAAACGATACATCACCAAATAGCTTGTAATTTATGCCCTTTCCTCTCTCCTTTTTGTGCAACTTCAAGCACCTAATCATTAAAGTCATTTATGTTAAGGAGCTAAGCCCTTATTGCCATGGAAACGCCATTAAAACAGCTTTTGAAGTTTAGATGTCCTTTGTTTATCTGGTAGCATTTGGTACCTTGTTGAACTTCTCTTTACAAGAGCAAATAAACAACATGGGAGGATAGGTATTTTATAGTTTTTCTTTCCGTGTGGTAAACCGATGATGATGATTAGGGTTTTGATGTTTAGCTGATTAGGTTACAATCCTACAAGCAAACTCAGCATGTATGAGAAGGCATGCATGGATGGCACTGTTAATGTGTTATCTATTTCAGAATCCTCTTGGTCAGTTAAAAAAAGGTGTTGTTCCTCCAGTAATCTGTTAGCAGATACTTTATTTATTTATTTAGAGTGGTACCTCAGGTTACATACGCTTCAGGTTACAGACTCCGCTAACCCAGAAATAGTACCTTGGGTTAAGTACTTTGCTTCAGGGTGAGAACAGAAATCGTGCCGCGGCGGCGCGGCAGCAGCAAGAGGCCCCATTAGCTAAAATGGTGCTTCAGGTTAAGAACAGTTTCAGGTTAAGAACGGACCTCCGGAACGAATTAAGTACTTAACCTGAGGTACCACTGTATTTATTTTTGAGGTTAAATGGGAACATAGTGATGTAGGAAGCTGGCTTATACCACATCAGGCTGTTGGTCCTTCTAGTTCAGTCTTGTCTACTGAGCTACAATCCAGGATTACAGGCAAGGAGTCTTTTCCAGTGTTCCATGGAGATTCTAGGAACTGAACCTAGGCTGGGACTTCCTGCAGGCAAAGCAACTGAACCATGGTCTTTCCCCACAGTTGTTCCGACTGACAGTTGTGGCTTGATCAGTCCTATTTCCCTAGAAAAAGAAGTGCCAGAACTCATCACAAACTTCTCCCTTGTTCTCTTAGAATGGCAATGGCGCCACCTGAGAGGTGCCGGAGCTAAGCTCCGGCTGAAAAAAAGAAGCAGCTCTGGGCTTGATCAGGGAGAAGGAACGGAACATGTGCTCTCTCGGGGATGGAGATGTTAGTAAATCAAGATAATCCTGGGGGTGCCCTGATAACCCTTTTGTGCAGAGAGCTTGAGCAGAGAACCATTATATTTACAGGCTTCCCTACACAACGATAACCCAGTTCAGTGCGCTTCTTATCTTCCCCCTATTCTTACACGAAGGCACTTTCTTTAGAAACAATAACTTTGCTCGTGCTGAGTAAAAATGATAAATCTGCTAATAACCACCCTTATTTTATCTCTAACAATGCGCTTTGGAGTACACAAAGCAATAGGAGCACAATGGCTGTCAGCCCTTCCTACGCTGGGGCTGGCTTACAAGTGTTGGTTGTATTTAGAAACTGAGTTTTTTGAGCATATTTGTGATAGAATTGCCAGGCACTGCAGTGCCATCAATCCTTCAGATTTCTGGTCCGAAGCCTGCAGGAGACAGAGCAAGAGCTAAGGCTCATTTAAACACAGGCAAGACCTTAATATGGTCCTTTATATAGCAACACACCAACTGCAATATGATTTAGCTACGAAACATGAATGTGGGAAGACTTGAATTGGTTACACTATATAAACAAGTTATTATATTTTTATCACACCTTTCCCCCAAGCGGCTTGCAGTGGTGTACATAAGTCTCTCTCTCTCCCCACAATTTACCTTCAGAACAACCCTGTGAGGTAGGTTGAGCTGAGCGATAGGAACTGGTGTAAGGACACCCAGCAGTGTAGTCCAGTAAGGAAAATGAGATCCTGCACCACCAACCTCAGTCTGCCCTCAGCCAGCCCCCATCTGCCTGCATTCTTACAGGTGGTTGAGTGGATGGCACTTGCTCTCATCTTCCTCAGACTCAGTGTTGCATTTACAGAATTCAACAGGGAAGGAGATGGGAAAAACTAGAATTATTGGGCACCCCCTCCTGCTGTTACAAGCTCCCCTCGTCTCCGCAGCACCAGAAGAGGCATGGAAGGGGTGGAGGAGAGGGTGGCTGCATGCAGTCTCTGATTGCTTGGGAAAAGTCCTGGAGAGGAGAGGACTTAGACAGCTGTGAGGAGATGGGGACTTTCACTCGGCAACTGGAGTAAAACCACTAGGAATGAGCTGCTGTCATAATGGGGATTTTCTTTCTGTGGAACCTTCTGAATCAAAGCAAATCATTTAAGAAACCGTAAGGCTAGGAAGGATAGTTCGATCCAGATTTTCACCCTAAAGCATCCTTGCATGGTTCCTGTCCCACATTCCAGCCAGGCACAAGCACCCAACATTAAGCCTGACATTCAGCCAAGTCTGTGGAGATCATGTTTCTGCTAATAAGGAGTTAACTTCAACTTTGAGATCTGTGATTACTGACCAAAAGGCTCTTTTGACACCTAGCCAACTCTTTCGCCCAAAACATGACCTTGTTACTTGGGTGGACAGGGGACAGCACTTGCATTCAAAGCTTTTTTTCTGCAGATCTTGCCACACTGATCTGTTAAGGTGAGTGTTTAAGAGAGTGTTGCTTCCTTCACTGGATGAAATCTCAGCAGTAAAAACCTCCTGGAGGGGGAAGGCCTGCAAGGCATGGTACTTTTTCATGCATGTAAAAGAGCCCTTTTACATTGCCCTCATGCAATCAGGAATAAGGAATCAGCAGCTATTCCTCTTACCATGGGGGGGGGGGGACTTGTCAGGAATTTGTAAGCAAATACGGCAACTGATTGCAGAGTACTGGCTGACATCCTCAGAAGCATATTTCTTAACAACTTTACGTGTTCCCTGCTGAGGACTGTTTGGAAACAATCTCTTCCTGGTAGTCGGAATGGAAGAGAAACTGCTGGGATGTTGAAGTTGGTCATGATGATTTTTTGCTGAGGGGTAGAGAAGGAAGCTGAAAGCTTTAAACCAGCATGAACCCCTCCACTCTGTCCGCAGACTGAAAAATTATGGACCAGTTGCCTTGTCCAGGTGTAGTTGTACATCTCTGAGTGATTTGCAGTAGATCAACAAGGATTTTCCTCTTCTAATTACGTAAGAAACTGTCTTATACTGAGTCAGGCCAAATCTACCTGGGTTTCTGACAGGGAGTCTCTTCTAGCCCTAGCTGAAGATGCTGGGGATTGAATTTGGGAGGTAAGAGGGACATGGGTGGCGCTGTGGGTTAAAGCACAGAGCCTAGGACTTGCCGATCAGAAGGTCGGCAGTTCGAATCCCCGTGACGGGGTGAACTCCCATTGCTTGGTCCCTGCTCCTGTCAACCTAGCAGTTTGAAAGCACGTCAAAGTGCAAGTAGATAAATAGGTACAGCTCTGGCAGGAAGGTAAACGGCATTTCCGTGCACTGCTCTGGTTCGCCAGAAGCGGCTTAGTCATGCTGGCCACATGACCCGGAAGCCGTACACCGGCTCCCTCGGCCAATAAAGCGAGATGAGCCCAGCGTCGTCCGTGACTGGACATAATGGTTGGGGTCCCTTTACCTTTACATGCAAGGTGAATGAATAACCATTGTTGTTGGGCTACGACTCCCATCATTCCTGATAATGGGCTGTTCTGGCTAGGGCTGATGGTAGTTGTAGGTCAGATAACACCAAAAGCACTACAGGTTCCTCATTCCTGGTCTACATAATGCTAAGCAATCTGTTGTGAGCCATGCTTATCAGTCAGTTTATCTCTGGAATGAAAACAACCTTGTTAGGACGGAGAGAGAAAGAATGGACAAATGATAAAAATCAAATGAGGAGGGAATTAGCAAATGGGGAGGGAATTTAGTCCTCAGCCTTCTGCGAAAGCCTTTGTCCGCCTTTCAGGTGGCAGGTACATATGCGAGAAAACATTAGCTCTGTGTCCAGATTCAAAATCCATTCCTTGTTTAATCTTTGTAGTGCTTCTAGAGTCTGCTTTAATGGAATATGCTCCTGCTTCTATCATTTCTGAGCTTGACTTGTGTTTGAGCCAAGAAGGATATATACTCTGATTTTGGAATCCAGAATGTCATAATGGGGATTTTCTCTCCGTGGAACCTTCTGAATCAAAGCCAATCATTTAAGAAACCATAAGGCGAGGGGAACTTCTGGTTTCCTGCCGACAGAACAGGGAGAGTGGGTCTGAAAGAGAAATTTGGATGGAAGGAGGACTGAAATGGGGAATTGTCCTAATGGGAAGCCTCTTTCAGAGGAGATTTAAATATGCCAAAGTAAGAAAGAAAGAATGGGTAACAATCTGGAAAATTGTTTTTATTTAGGGGTCAGCGGTTGTAAATGAATTGGGACATCAGCAGACATGGATTAAGTGCTTGCAAAAAGCAACAGCTAGGATAATTTTGAAAGGGGAAATAGCATGAAACCATAGATGTGTAATGTATGAAGTGGTCTGAATGTTTAAAATATCTGTGCTGTATACCACAAATTTAATTGTTTAGTAGTTGGAAAATTGGGTAAAGGGATCTGAAAGAAGAGGGGGTGGAGGGAAGTCTGGGGATTTGTGGGGGAGGGTAAAAATCTGTTCTTTTTGATTATTTTTTGTTTTGAGGTTCTAGCAGGGGAGCGCAGCTATCGTATACCCTTGACTGAAGAACGGTACACTCCTTCTATCTGGGATGGTCGTCCTCTTCCACTGAGCGCGCAGCTTCGGGAGGGACGCACATGGAGTGGTGAGGGAGGAAGGGGACACCCGCCTAGCCAGCCAGATCAGCCGAATCAACCCTGGTGACAGATGTCGCAGCCAGATCGCCCTCACATCCCTTTTTGATTATTTTTTAATGTTAATGAGAAATGTGTGGGGTAATCTGGTATTGATACAACGTGGCATATATTGGATTTTTTTTTTAAAAAATTGAAAACTAATTAAAAAATATTTAAAAAAGGAACCATAAGGCTAGGAAGGGTAGTTCGATCCAGATTTTCACCCCAGAGCTTCCTTGTATGGTTCCTACCCCACATTCCAGCCAGGCAGAAGCACCCAAGGAGAGTGCAAACAGGGTCAGAAAGGATGAGGGCCAAGTAGTGAGGCCTTGAGGGCCACCTGCATCCCCTGGACCTGAGGTTCCTCAGCCTTGATATTTAGCATATAAACCTGTGTTATACCTTTGGCCCACCTAATACAGTATTGCCTTCTCTGAGCAGTAGCAGCAGCTGTCTAGGATCTCAGGCAAAGGATCTTTCCCATTTCCTGATAGCAACAGTGCAACCCTTTGTGTGTTTGCTCAGAATGAAGTCCTCCCGTGTTCAGTGAGACTTACTCCCAGGTTAAGTGTACGTAAGATTTGCAGCATGAGCTACACAGAATGCAGTTCTGAGGGAGCTGCAAAGCCTTTGGATTTGATGCTGATTCTGCCACTGACTCACTCTGAAAGTGAGGATAAATAATTCTGCTTTGAGCTTTATAGATAGAAAACAATATGTTGGCCTGACCAAAAGCCAGACTCAGGAAGCAGATGCTAATATCCTAGCCTGTGTTGGAAAGCGCTGCAACTGAGCACATTATGTCAGTGCCATTTTGCCTACACATGGAGTTTCGTGCCAGGATTTGACTCACTGCTTAATCGCCCCCCTTTAAAAATATGAGGATGCTTGATATATGTAAGGTGCTGTAGGAGGTGAATTCTTATCCAAATTGAAAGAATATCCTCCACAATGACCCCAGAACGCCCATACTTGGAATAAAGCAGGTTTGTTCCTTGTTAGCACAAGATGAATTTAAACAAGACAATTTTATTCAAATGAATAAATGTACATATATAGAAATCTTCATTTAACACACACACACACACAAACACACGAATTAATCAAAATAAGCCTCATGAAAACCAGCTGTTTGTTTTTCCGCTACGGGCAATAAGTTAATGTTTTCCTAGTGTGAACGAAAGGTATTATTATCTGTCAAGTGCATTTTGCAGTTCTGTCTGGTGTCTTTGATACACAGAATGACGCCTGTATCTCAAGCTTCGCTGGATGGGATTATTGGAGTTTATGTGTGCATATAATGAGTAGAGCATCTCCCGATTCTATTAAAGCTCGGTAGCAGCTCCAGGTACCCAAGGCAGGGCAGTACTCTGGAAGTTGCATGCTGCCTTTCTGTTATTTATATTATCTAATCACATTTTTGGCACGCAAAATGCCTTTGGGTGACGATTTCTGGGGTTTAAATGCGGCGTCTGAGGATGTTACCTGCTGGTATTTTCAAAAGGTATTTCCAATACACCCTTCCTTCTTCTCACTTCCCTACCCTCTGAAGCTCTTTCCCCATACAGCACAAGGCTTTTCTGTTTGTCCAGGGCAATGGGATACTGAGTTAGATGGAACGATGTGGTCTGACTCCGTATAAGGCAGTTTCCTACGTTCCTGAAATGCAATGCGAGGTGATTGAAAAGCCTGACTACTCAATTCAGCGGCTCTGACATCGCAGTGCTGGGAGGTACCTCGGAGAGCACCGCTGGCCAGACTAGACCTGGTGCCTCCAATCTGGTGTGCAGTCTCCCTTTTGGATCACAATTCCTGTCAACTCCAGCCAGTATTCTGCTGTGCTGGCTGAGCCTGGTCTGAGATGGAGTCTAAAGCTGCTGAAGAACATCAGGTTGGAAAACATTGAGATGGAGGGTACCACTACTAGGCCATGTAAAATAGTTCTCTGAATGGCCTTCACAATGTCATACCTACCAACATTTCTCTGATGAAAATAGGGACATCCCATTCCATAATGATAATGTTACTATTTACACCCCACACATCTTACTGGGTTGCCCCAGCCACTATGGGCAGCTTCCAACATATATAAAACATAAACATTAAACAATTTTTTTTAAAAACTTCCCTACACAGGGTTGCCTTCAGATGGCTCAGGAGGTCGGATAACTCCATACCCTCCAACATTCCTCCAGTGAAAATAGGGCATTCTGGGATCAAATCAGAAACCGGATGGCTTTTCTAAATCAGGGATTTCCCTGGTGGGTCTGCAATCCTCCCCCCTCTCTGTGTGTGCATAGATAGATAGCTGTAATGCTTGTAGTCTCTTTAGGTCTAATGATGCTATCTTGCTGTGAAAATGGCTACGGTTGTCATGGCAACCAGCCCTCTCTCTCAAATATGGATGGGTCTTATGGTGGTATTAGATTGGGGAGCTTCTGGCTTCCAAACAGCATTTCCTACATAAATGGTAGGACACTTGGTTGCATGGGAAAACACTGGTTTATGGACAGAAAATACAAATGTAATAGGCATTTAGGTTAGGCAGTGTGGTATAGTGAGTAGCGTCGGACTGGGAAGGTCAGAATTCAGATTTCTGCACAGGCATAATGCTGACTAAGGGACATGGGTGGTGCTGTAAGGGACTCGGGTGGTGCTGTGGGTTAAACCACAGAGCCTAGGACTTGCCGATCAGAAGGTCGGCGGTTCGAATCCCCGCGACGGGGTGAGCTCCCGTTGCTCGGTCCCTGCTCCTGCCAACCTAGCAGTTTGAAAGCACAAAAGTGCAAGTAGATAAATAGGTACCGCTCTGGCGGGAAGGTAAACGGTGTTTCCGTGCACTGCTCTGGTTCGCCAGAAGCGGCTTAGTCATGCTGGCCACATGACCCAGAAGCTGTACGCCGGCTCCCTCGGCCAATAAAGCAAGATGAGCGCCGCAACCCCAGAGTCAGCCACGACTGGACCTAATGGTCAGGGGTCCCCTTTACCTTTTATAATGCTGACTAGGTGACTTTGACTCTCCACTCAGCCGTGAAGCTTGTTGGGTGCCCTTGGGTGGGTCACCATCTCTCAGCCTAGCCTATATTGCAGGGTTGTTGTGAAGAAAACATGGAGAAGGGGAGAGCCAAAAATGCCACCTCAAGCTCCTTGGAGGAAAGGTGGACTATAAAAAGCAAATATCAAGGCAAAGTGCTGCTCAAGTAAGCTTTTATTTATATCAGTTTCACAAAGAGATGATGGCACAGGATTTCAGTTAATTTAAATTGATGTTATCCATGGAGGATTTGACCAAATGGTCCTGTTTTGTTTTTTTAAGGAAGTTGAGGCAGTATTAGAAATGTTGATGCCTACAATGTAAGTAGGGAAGCATCCTTCATTAAAGGATTTGCATTTCCTACTCCACCCAGAGTTCTTTCTACTTAGCCCCAGATAGTGAGTGCTTGCATGTCCCCTTCATTGTATCCCTTGGAAAGAAATCACAGGTGAAAGAAAGAAAAGATAGGAAGGATTATGCTACTGAAACAACAACAACAACAACAACAACAACAACAACCACAACAGAAGCACTATCCTTTCCCCCCATTTAGCAGATTGAGAAAAATATCAGGGAATAGTCATGTGCTTTCTGAAAATCCATTTTCTTACCTCGGCCATTTGTTAAATCAATCATTCCATTGCAAGAGGAGGGAAACATGTACATGGCTAGTCAAGATGGTGTTCTTCAGATGTTGTTGTACTACAGCTCCCATCCTCCCTGGCCATCAGGGACCATCATGGCTGGATGGCTGCATAGGAGCCAGTTGAAGTTAAATCCTTTGAAGACTGAGGTCCTTTGGCTAGGTCAAGACAATATGAGATTGGGGGACCAATTCCCATCCCTTGCAATTAGTGCCAACGCCTTCCGTCAAGAGTTTGGATGTAATCTTCGATGCCTCCTTTTCTATGGAGGCACAGGTTACAGCTATAACAAAGGCTGAATTTTTCCATCTCCACCAAGCTAAGCAGTTGGTCCCTTACCTCTCTCGCCCTGACCTTGCCATTGTGATCCATACGACGGTCACCTCCAGGCTTGATTATTGTAACTCACTCTACATGGGGCTGCCCTTGAAACTGACCCAGAAACTCCAGTGGGTGCAGAATGCCGCGATGAGACTTCTTACAGGGTCCTCACCATGGGATCACATTCACCCAGTGCTATACCAGCTGCACTGGTGGAGTACAGGGTCAGGTTTAAGGTGCTGGTTTTAACCTTTAAAGCCCTATACAGCCTAGGACCCTTGTACCTATGGGACCACCTCTCTTGGTATGTCCCACGTAGGATCTTACGGTCTGCAAATAACAACACCCTAAAGATTCCAGGCCCCAGAGAGATTAGACTGGCCTTGACCAGAGCCAGGGCCTTTTTGGCTGTGGCCCCAGCCTGGTGGAATGCTCTCTCACAAGAGACCAGGGCCCTGCGAGATTTGATATCCTTCCACAGGGCCTGCAAGACAGAGCTGTTCCGCTAGGCCTTTGGTCAGGGTTCAGTCTGACTCATTTTCTCTGTGTATAAGAACAAGCACGAAGGAGGTTTCCCAGCCCGCTCTCAGGTCCTTATAATATCCGTGGAAACAGTTGGTCCTGGCGAGTATTAACCGCTTTCAATTTTAACCTGAGGATTGTAGATTGATTGCTTGTTTTTATGCATATTGTATTATTTAAATGATGTTAGCCACTCTGAGCCCGGCTCTGGCCGGGGAGGGCGGGGTACGAATAAAAAATTATTATCATCATCATCATCATCATCATCATCATTATTACGTATTATGCTAGCTGGGGCTGATGGGAGCTGGTTTCCAACAACATCTGGAAGAGGCACAATGTATCTATGATTCTATGATTCACAACCACTATGTACGCAGAAATGAGCCAGAATTCTGCCCTGGACATCATTACTGCAGTTTGATGGATATTTTAAATGTCTTAATGGGCAAACCTCTTGTCAGTCTTCTGAGTGCTGAGCTGAGAAACTACAGTTTTCAAATGGAAGATGTTTAGGGGTCAATAAGAGGGTGCATTT